GATTACTCACAGCGAGCTGACACACACACTATTTAAATTACAAATGCGTGTGAGTAGCTTGCGTTCAGCTACCTTCGGCTTCTGGGGGTCACGTGCACTCAGAACTTGTACGCATCCCCTGATAGCCAAATGTGGCCGAACTCATGGTCTCAGTTTTCCAATCATAGTTTTGTACGATATATTGGTGCATGCATGTGCATGCACTTTGCTTTATTATTAATTATTACTTAATTCATATTGTTACGGATTTCATAGTTATTTATTTATTTAGTTTTTTTAATTTAGAATTGTAATTAGATTTGCTTCATGCTACCTTAGCAATGCAGACAATTTTTGAAAAGACAGCTGCGTTGGAAGGTCAAAAATAGAACAGCGCGTGCATTTAATACCTAATAAATAAATATCTCGTAATTGCTGTTGCCATCCACAAAAATCCAGATATTTATAGATGTTTCCAGTATATTCGAGAAATTAATAATTAAGCTTATAAAAGCCGAGAACAAACAACTCATCTCAGTAGTAGCTGTAGTTCTAGCAAACTGTTTGTTTACTTAATGCTGTGATTGATTTGTAGCGATTTCGCTGTGAGATAGAATTAGTTTCTCTGTTTTTAATTGATTTTTGCTAAACGTTTGACATTTTGTGATATTGTTAGAATATTTTTGAAGAAATATTTCAGCATTTTGATTTATCTCTTGTTGAAAGAATAAATTTTTGTTAACTTTTAATGTTAACCGTGTTTATTCCAGCCCTTTGTATTCAGTATGTCTATATCAAAACCAACGTGGTAGTAAAATTAAACGAAAATCGCTGACGAACATAGAATATTCCAAGTAAAATGGGAATTAGAATATTTTTGCTGTGAAATAAAAGATAAAATAATCTGCTTGATATGTAATAATACTATTACAGGGTTCATAGCCACATTTTAGTTAAAAAAATAAGCACCTATAAGCACTTTTCAAGCACATTTTAAGGAAAAAATAAGCACCTGTCTAATTACATTATACACAACTGCATAACCTTAAAAGAAAAATTAGACTTGTAATTTAAAATATGAGCAATGCAATATTTATTAAGAGAATAAGCATTACCTCAACCACGGAAAACAATTAACTTTTTTTTTTTTAAATTTAAATGACAGTTCAATTTACAGAATTAGTTTACAATGAGAGAAAAAAAAAACTATGCAGAACTAAACTATATTACAAGATTTAATGATGAAATTTCAGTTCAATATATAGAAAATAAATAATAAGCCATATTAATTGTATTCGTTTGGCACCTAATAATAAATACAATTTATTTTTCCACTCATATTAATATTTAAATAATTTACCTTAAATCAAAATTCTGAACATTTTCTAAATTTTCATTGCATAACAGTTTTTCCCTTAACATATATTCCAAGCAAAGTAATTTAAGTAAAAAAGAGGCACATTTCTGAAATCAGAAGACGGGAAATTGCTTAGGGCAGTCATCCTTTAGCAGTGAAAGCTTAACTAACCCACATACTTAGAAATTGCCGAAAATTCGGGATAGTAACTGGAAAAAGAGGAGTGGGGGAGATTGTAGCCGTTCTTTAGATTTCACGGCTAAATAAATTATTTTGACATTTCGGTATGTGCATCATATAAAAAGTACCACCAACGGAACTGAAGAAATAATTCTGCTTAGCCAAGCACAGTAAAACTCTTTTAAGTCTCATAAACGAAATCTCGGACTGAACATAACAAATTAATTATCTCTGCAAAATACCGCAAACGTTATTGCGCAATACATGCCGCGTAATTCTTCCACATGTGATATTACGCAATCGGAATCAACAGCTGCCGGTATTCGAAGAATAAAGAACTAAATAAAGGAAAAGAAAGTGACTTACTAATCTGGGGTGTTTCTGATTCTAATTTTCAACAGACTGCATTAAATTTCCGGAATAGAATCAATCTTCGCTTCGGTTGGGCAGACCGCAAAAACATTTAGTTCTATTCAATCCAGATTGGACAGTGACAAAAAAAAAAAAAAAAAAAACTCTGCTGCTTCAATATTAGAGATTTTGCCGAGAAAGGGGAGAACCTCCCAACCTCCGTACTGTATAATGTATTGGCAAAAAGAGAAGAAAAAAAAAAAAGAAATTATTTTGACTATTCCATCACTTTCCTTTTATTTAAGCCATTCCGAATATTATTCCTTAGAAAGCTAATCTGTGTAAACACACCCATTTTTGGAAGTTTATCTATACTTCAGCAGTTACTGCAACTATATTATTATAAATATTCATGCATATACTCATAATATAAGCATAACGATCGTAATAAACACGAATATGAACTGAACCACGCGGAACGAGAATGCAAATTATTAAAATCTTGATAGAAATTCAAACGTGTGTAGTTTGGGTGGGAGGAAAAGAATACCAAATGTACCGGAATTTTCTACCGTTTTCGCAATTCTTTGACCAATAGAACGACGTGCACATGTCTGTACTCTCGCGCGTACCATAGGTTACGTTAATGCAGAGAAAAGCAGAAAAGGGGAAAAGCAATTTCCGGGAGTATGATTCACCATCTGACGTTGCATATAAATTTAGTTTCGGCCTTGGTACGGGGAAGAAATGCGTGTTCATTAAAAAAAAGAACTAAAAGCAAAAAATAAGCACTAAAAACAAAAAAATAAGGGCTTTAAAGAAAAAGTAAGCACCTATAAGGGCCTTTATATTTTATTTTCAAATATAAGGATTATAAGCACTTGTAAGGACCGCTACGAACCCTGTATTAATGTACAAAAAGTTATATAATATTAAACGTCATTACGAACAACACAAATCGAAATATAACAATTACGAAGGATTAATGAGGAAAGAAAAGTTGAAAGAGCTCAAGTTAGGAGTGAAAATGCAACAGTCCATGTTTAGCAAGAAAGTGAAGCGGCGGTACATGCAAGCTACATCTTGTCCGAGTTGATAGCTAAACATTCGAAGCCTTTTACTGACGGTGATTTCATCAAGGAATGCCTAATGAAAGCTGGAGAAATTGTTTGTCCTGGAAATGTGAAGGCTTTTCAATCATTTCATTGTCTCGAAATACAGTTGCGGAAAGAGTTACTGATTTAGCCGCGAATTTAAAGTGATCAGATCAAAGCAAAATCATCTAGTTTCGAAAGTTTCTCCATTGCCTGTGACGAGAGCACGGACATTAGTGGCAAAGCTCAATTAGCAGTGTTTCTTTTCTTCGTTCTTGTGACAAGAATTTTAACATTTTTGAGGAATTACTGGAACTAATACCGATGCCTGGTTCTACCACAGGAGAAGATATATTTACTTGTGTTTTTGAACTTCTGCAGAAATACAATCTACCTTTGGCAAAATTAAATTCTGTAGCTACAGATGGCGCTCCATCAATGACCGGGAAGAACAAGGGCTTCGTAACATTACTAAGAAAAAAACTTAGTGAAATTCACGGTTCAAACATTCATCATATGCATTTATTATACATCAAGAAGTTCTATGCAAGAAAGTAATAAATATGAAGAATGTTTTGTCATATACAAAAAAAGTTATAAATTTTATAAGATCTCGAGGTTTAAATCAGGAATTAATCTCGAGGTCAATTCACTGCTTTCTTAACCTTTTAACTGTCATGCCCGAGATAATCTCGGGTACAGCACTGGTGTTCGAAAATGTCACGAACGAGTATTACTCGGGGTATTTTTTTTTTTTTTTTGAGTGCATCGTATTGTTATACCCGAATATATATCGGGAGACGTTTATTTCGGCTTCATCTTTTTGTCAAACCCGACTGTATGTCGGGAAAAATTTGACAATTTGTGTACCCAAATCATCAAAATAACTTGACAGTTAAAGGGTTAAGTGAGTTAGATATTGAATATTCGGGTTTGTCCTACTATACCGAGGTACATTGGTTATCTGCTCCAAGATTCTCAACAATTCTGGGGATGAAAGAAGAAATATGTCAGTTTTTAAAAACGAAAAATGAAGACCTAAGTTTGTTTTACGATCCAATATGGATACAAGATTTATCTTTCTTGGTTGATATAACCAAACACTTAACCGATTTAAATTTATCGTTACAAGGAAAAGATCATATCATTATGAACATGTTTGACATAATTAAAGCATTCAAATGTCAACTAGTTCTTTGGGAAAAACAACTTAAAAATGAAGATTTGACGCACTTCCCAACGTGCAGTATGAACAAATCAAGTTTAGATGATACTTGTTCGTATCCAAAATACGCAGGAAAAATTGTAAATTTAACAACTGAATTTGAAACGAGGTATAATGATTTTAGTTCCCTCGAAGACAATTTTTTTTTGTTTTCTTCGATTTTTCTCAATAAGTATTGGAATGGATCTAAATTTAAATTACTTTTTATACCAAAACAGACTATGCTATTGAATTTTAATATAAAGAAAAGAAAAAAAAATCATATTAAATTTTGAATTAAAGATGTAGTTTAAGCTTACAAGAATAATAACTTGAATTTTGAATATAACTGTATATGATTGCGAAATAAATTCATTAAAATCCCATTTGAAATTTATGAATAATATTGTAACACCACTTACTTACTTTGCATTTCCAAAATTTTTTATATAATTTTTGCACAAAATTTGAGCGAAAACAAGAAATTTTCCCCTTAAAGTTGATGCTAAATCAGCAAAAACTCGCTAAAACACTGCTTTAGCAGAACAGAAAACTGGTAAAAAAAAATCTCTGTTTTGCTTAGTGCTGGCACAAAATCAGTAATAGGTCGCTTTTTAATTTTTTTTATTGTAATATGGTTCAGTATTCTATCCTTGAGCATGACCTGTAGGAACTGGCCTAGCAATTCTAATTCTAGCATACCAAATATTCTGTTTAAAAACATTTCGGCTATTATATTTTCCATCAAAAATTCTAAATATGACTAAAAAACATGTTTTAGAATAAATAAAAATGTTTAAATAAAAGAATAATTAAACTTTGAAAATTGGCTCACACGAAAGGACCAGCCTGTTTCAGAGCTTTTTACATCTTGAATGACTTGTTCACTGGCAGGTGGCAAAATTTGGGGATCTTCAGTTAATTTTGCTAAAGCATCCAGTACTTCCTGAATATGACTTACTTCATACATTGTTGACAGTTCATATTCCTGTAAATTAGAATATATGAGAGAATAAATATATAATTAGAAGGTAATATAGCTGTGAACTTCAATAAGCTGAAACTGAAGAGAACAGAAGTTCAGTTTTGTTTACTAAAATTTTAATGCATACTGCTAATTTCTGCTACTAGGAAACAGCTGGAAAATTATGACGTTTCCGCAACTTTCTATTGGCTAAAAATAATGCTCGATTTCATAAGATTTATATTACCACTTCTAAATATTTCTGTAATTAATATCTTACTATAAAACTCGTAAATTTGTAAAAATTTTGTTTCGAATGAGTCTCAAATGATTAAATGTGACAGAAATATTTATTAAAATTTCAAAGAAACTAAGAAATTCTTTCAGTAGCAGCAGACAAAAAAAAAAGTAATTTATTTTAAGTCAAGGTCATTGGTCATGAGTTTTTTCAATAAATAAAACCAGTTTCTCTAAGCAAATCATCCACGAAGGCAGATAACTCTTAAGTACTTTATTCTAATAAAGGAAGCTCACTTCACTATTATAGAAAATAACTGCTGTACTCTTGAAATTATATGAATATTTCTAGTCCCAATTCCAGACAAAAATCATTGGAAAAACTTGGTTATTTAAATTAAAAAAAAAAAAAAACATGGGGGTTTCAGATTTTAAATTGCACTCGAAGGGGCCTTTTTTTTTAGCGTTTTGTGTGTTACCTTTACTCATTAATTTAAATATCAAATTTCTGATACAGTCTCGTGGGCTGATGATAAGAATGATTTTTTCGTTTAGTTTTGCCATTGCTCGCTTTGAAATCATTTAGTTTTTTAATCAACAATTCGTTGAAGTGTTACAAAATCTGAAATCGATAATAAAACAAATTTCATATTCAAAGTAGGGCTTCCACATGCCCATATTCTATGGAAGATTGCATTATTCAAATTTTGATGGCTCTAGGTACCATTGTTTTATCACAATGCGGGGAAAAATACATACATTTATGCAGATTCTTCATTATTTAATTTCTTTAAATATACGACAGGGTGATAATATGTGGTGGCAACGATTTGAAAAGTGATGCAGCCTTTTAAAATTTTCAATGCAAAATGTCAAAACGAAATTAATAGTCCTTCAGAGCAAATTGCTTCATATGGGAATAATTCAGTCATTTAAAATGAAATTTCAGAGGAAAATTGAAGAATTTGGAGACACAATCTCTCAAATTACAGCATTTCATATTTTCAGCACTTCAACTCTTTTTGAAGTCAAACTACGATAAACCCACTTATTTCCTATGAAACAGCCATAATTTTCTTATCTATCTTTCCATTAACTCAGTAGAGAGTCCTCTTTGACCTCTAAAGATTATGAACAAAATGATGTTCTGTAAAATTGCAAAAGAATACTTCTGGAAAAAAAGGCAGTCTAGTAAGATAGATATGTGGAATACTAAGTATTGAAGGGTGTCTACAGATGAGAGAAATGAAAAAGCCTAACTCTTAGGAAAATCACAAACAATTACCGGTAATGTTCTGCTATCAGGACCTAATTAAAAAATGTATGTCTGCAAATATGTGTGTATGTCTGCATGTATGTGTGCATAAGTATGAATGTATGTGTGAGTGTGTCTACATGTACACATATACGTGCATAGATTTTTTTAATCTGATCCCAATAGCAGAACACTACTCAATTACCTACTGCAAATTTGTATCCTTAGGGGGTAAAACGTTACAAGCCAGGCCATCAAAATCTTTGCTTAACCAGCTCTTATTTGTTTGCATGACAAGCCATAACAAATGGATCATGGAATGCAGTAAATTTCATGATCAATTATTACTTTATAAAAAAGATAGGAATTGTGTTACAAAATACTTATATAACCAAATGGAATGAAACTGAATTTGACAAATTACACTTCATTAACCACTTGCGCTAAAAAGACGTGCCACACACGTCGAGATGCTTTTGTCTCAAAACCACGTGCAAAAATGAGAATAACGTGGTGCACACGTCGCCTAACATCGAGATTGTTTATTTCTCGAGTTACAGCTCTGGATTGTACTCGCAGATGCGGAGTGACGTAAATGAGACACTTTATCGCTTGTTATATTGTAGTGCATGGCACCGCAACCGTGAAGTTTAGTCATAGCGCAAGTGGTTAAATGAAAATTAAGGACTTTTGAGGAATACCACTAAAAATAATTAAAGATCTATCACTAGCAAAAGTAAATAAATTAAAGCAATAATTATCTATGCAACTGCTTTCAGTCTAGCCATACAATTCTATGAATTCTATGAATGAAACAGAAATGTGCAGATGCATTAATTATTATCAAATCAATCTAATATTTTAATACAAGTTTAAAAGCAAATTTGAGAATAAAATCAATTTCCTAAAAGTTTTCAAGCAACTGACATTAAATTACAAATACCACTTCTTGAGACACACATTTAATATTTATTATGTTGATTTAAAAAAGATATTTGATGAATTATACATTAAAAGATAAAAAAAAAAAATCTGTAACACTGCAAAATATTTCTCTCACCTTAATCTGAAATAAAAAGGGAGGCAGAGGATATTTAGCTTATTTATTTAAATATATCGATTTAAATAAATAAGCTATTTCTATCTATTTTCGTCTTTTCAATTATTTTTCTACGTTCCTCAGCTTTAATAAATAAATCAAAGTTCTTACTAAACTGTGCTCCATTGCTAAAGTATATATTAATATCCTCAATAACATTGCTTTGAAGAATTTCCTTTTGCTTTATGCAATTGTTTTCATCTCCAGTATTCTCTTCATGACTGAATTTTCAAATTCAGTTGAAATGTTTTGCTATTCTAAGAAACTGTATGTATTTAGAATGCATAGAATCTGCTAATCTTATTTCTTTAGTAATTTCCACATTAAAATTAATTTGGGGGGAGGAACTTTACAAAATGATACAATACACATTCAGATACACCAAACAAATCTTTTAAATTATAAATTTTCTATATTGTTAATGACAATTCCTTTCTACAGACAATTGTTCATATTACAAGATCAGAATTACTTTTAACGAAAATCACATGTCAAAAAAAAAAGAAAGAGAAATGCTCCAGAAAAAAGAGATTTTGGATCAAAATAAATGAGGTTCCCAGTATTTTAAAACAGCATCAAGAGAACTCATTTTTTAAAACATGGCAGGTGGAAATAATAACATTTTTCTAAAAAGTGCAGTTTTAATATACTGCAACTATTTTAACAACTTTAGTGTAGATGCTGAAAAAAGTCCTCATGAAATCTGCAAATCACCAAATCAAAATTTCCGCAGGCAAGTTGATTTTAAAATTACCAAAAGTTGATAATTTGCCAAACTTGTCAATGCACACAATTAAATTCAGATTGTTCTTAAAAAAAAAGTTGTTTCAGTATAATTAAGAGAACAAATTATTTAAATTGCAATACAAATGTCTGCAAAAGCATGCACTTTGAACATTACATCTTGAGACCAAAAGGCAAATTTGTACAATTTTCAGTGCCTTTGTAAAATTTTGCAATATATATAAAAAAAAAATTCATATACAAGATTTTAAAAACTTCAGTTTTCATAAAAATTAGGAAAAAATAGTGAAAACTGGCTGATTAATTGTGAATTTAAAATTTAAAGATCTTACTGCAACCAGATAAACTACGTCAACAGCCAACTACTGTCATCAACTCTTTTCAAATTTTATTTTATTTGACATTTTTTCTTTAAAGGAATGCTTTAGATGATTCCCATCATTCCTTGTGGTGCTAAACAGATAGCGCCGAATTCTCTGCTTAAGTATGTAGCCCACGCTAGATTTAAATTTTTCTAATATCGGCAGATTTTGCCAGAACATCCTCTATATTTTTTAACTTTTGAAAGTGTCCTTTGAAGTTTGAAAGTTTTGAAGAATTTGTAGTCTCTGTCCATGTTTTTGAAGAATTTCCAAATTCACTGGTAACACAGGGTGGAAGCATAACTTTTAAGAAGTTCAAACTTTGACTTTCTTGAAACTCATGCTTTTGACACAGTATATCAAAATATAGCCGTAAGGTCAACGTCAAAATCAAAGAAATTTTTTTTTTTCAATGAAGACAGACTTATTGTTGACAATATATATTTTTTAAGATTGGGTAGACAACCGATAAAGCCCCCAAAATGTTTGTTCCGGAGTGACCACTTCTTTCTTGCTGTTTAGAACATCAATTTGCGATGACTTTATTATGAGACATAAGCTTCAAATTCTACAGTCATACAAAACGTTAATTCAAACTCAAACTTAGAAAGGGAACAAGAATGTTACACGAGAAAAATTAAGGAACATTTGCAAATTTAATTATTAAACATTGAAATTAAACACTTTTAAGGACCAACAATGAATTTTAAGAAATCTAAGGACTTTTAAAGACCAAGCACACCCCCAAAAAAATTAAGATGTATTACCAAAATTCCTTCAAGATCCCAAATTATCTGACAATTGAAGAAAATATTCTTCAAAAGTATTTAAAATATGGTACAACAAATATAGTAAAATACTTTGAACAGAATGTATATTAATAGCAGTTTGAATACCATTATATCATCTGCATATGCTGCTGAAACTTGTACTTCTGTACAAAAATTAACTTAATCATAATAAGAGGAAGAACAAATTTTAAAAGCACAAATTTTCAACAATTGGTTCTTTTACCTACAGAAATATATATCAGTGAGAAAATGTTGAAAATAATTATTATTTTGAACATAGATCATCATAGAGCATCATAGTTGCATCCTTAAAAGCATGCCAATGAGCATTCCAAGAGCTCAAATAAGTGACATTACAGGGCCATTGTTGATGGGAGAAAAAACTAACCTCCACACATACATGAAAATTTTAAATTTAAAACATAAGATTTAGAAACAGCCTTTAAAACTATAGCATTTTGAACAGCCATATTTTAAAGCTCCAAAGATTTGTTTGTAAAGTTACTGTATCACTAATTTCAATATTATAAACATATTATAAATAAATTATATATAACTAATATATATATATCCAGCTATACACACAATTTTAACATTATAAACAAATATCTGGATAAAGTTATTTGTTAAAATGTAAGCACAAAAGTACTTACAACTACAGGTCGCAGACAGTTGACAAAGTGACAGTATCTGGAGCGTTCTTCAATGAGGGCTCTCCTCAAAGCTTGTTTCTCTGTTTCTTCCAAGAGATGATATTTACTATTCACATCACGAATAGCACTATCTAAAGTCTTTTTCGCATTACCTTTTGGAGCTTTAAAAAAAAAAAATTTCAAATGTGCGACTTCAAAAGATTTTGTATTAAACAATATACAAAATACATTATTCACCATGATATATTAATTAAAGGCTATAAAATAATAGCAAGCTTTACATTTCAATTATAGTTTTCATGCGAAATTCCCCTCAAATACTATAGGTAAAATTTTTATGTTGCAAAATGCCTATATAAAGAGATCTCCCCCTTCCTCATTTTTTTCTTCAAATTAGAGTTAACAGCGTTTTGTAAGGAAGTCGCCTGCTCTAAAAATTACCGGCAAAATATTATGCTCTATTTCAGTAACTTGTAAATAAATTAGTTGTTATTGTGTTTTTCAGATTGAGCCTTTTATCACGTATTACATAAAAAACCTGAACCACCTAAAGAATGAAATTGATTAATGATAGTTACAACTTTTGAATTAGTTTCATATGGTGCATTGTTGATGGAGTATCCAGGATTATTAGTTCATAATGTTTTGGATTACTAAATGAAGCCCATGAGGAAATAAAAGGTAAGCTCTCATTTTTCATTCATTGTTGATCCTTGGATGTATTTCTGTTGTACAGTATTAAAAAAAATGGCTGTATTACAACTTGCAAAAGCTAAATGAACAATGGTTAAAAAATTAACAACCCAGCTAATTAATCAAATTGACACTAAATTAACATAAGGAGATGAGCTTGATGAGCAGGATTTAAGAGACGCTTATGAGCTCTTAGTAGAAAGAAATAATGGCTCTACTCTTATATTCGTCCTAAGATCACCAAATGTGCCGATATATGTTTTACACTGGTTTATGGTGTGATTGTGGTGCTGTGCAGTGGTTTTGGGGATGACATTGTTTGTATGGCAACCATTTTGACGTGGAAACTTAACTCTTTTACTGCAGTGGTTTAATTGCTCATTGGTTCGTGTTGTGCGTGTTTTGAAATGGCCTATGTTGCTATGATAGACATGGTGGCAAGATTTCAGTCACGTATTTTAGATTGTGTGGAAAGTAAATTTAGTATTAAAAGGTAGGATATTGGAGTTTTTAACGAGTCTTTTGTTCATGGGTGTGTTAATGAGGATCGAGGTGTATTTTTGGAATTTCTGTGGGACTTTTAAAACAGAGTCTGAAATGTCGAGTTGCTATGAGAACTCGGACAAAGAAGAGCGTTTCTGATAGTTCTTGTGTGGATTTGCAGTTAAATGCTTGCTGGTAAAGTATGTGGCTGTTAGTGGAGTTTAAGATTTGGATCGTGGTTTTCATGTAGTAAGTTAACTTTGGAAGAAGTTTCTATCGTTACTTTCGAAATTTTGAACAGCAGAAACAAATGTGATATAGGAAAATCATGGCACTTTTGTTCACAGACATTGTACGACTGGCAAAATTTTATTAATATGGTAAGTGCATTTTATTTTACTGTTTTTATTATGCTAAAGTACGATAGATGAAAATGAAACCATTACAAAAGTTGGTAAATGCATGAATCTTAAAACCTTTTTAACTGGTCAAGTTGCCAATGTTGTTTCAGGATTCAAATTATCTAATGATAGTTATGAGAACTCCATAAAAATTCTGAAAGACAGATTTGGAAAAAGAGATATTATAAATTCCTTTATGACTAAAATACTAAATTTGGAAGAGGTAAAAAAATTCTTCTAATGTTTCAGTGTTATACCAAATTTATGGTGAGCCCGGGATCTCTATTCGAAATTTAGACGCAATAAATGTTACATGAGGCTCTTTCAGACATTTGTTAATGCCTATTTAGCAAAAATTCTTCCCCACAATCTAATTTTAGAAATTAACAGGCAAAGAGATTATGGTGACACTGACATTTCTTAATTCATTTTATTCTTAAAGAAGGAGGTCTAATGTCGTGAAAGTACTTAACTGGCTTGTGGTGAAAATAAAACATTTATTAATTATTACAATCAAAAAACTGTAAATAAAGGACACAAAAGAAATACACCCATGGCTAGTGCATTTAACACTACAGTTCAGCAAGTATGCATCTTCTGTGAGAAATTCATTTTGGCCTTCATTTATAATTCCCACAGAATCAAGCTGCCAAAACATGCTTAAATTATCTGACACCGACGTACTGACCAAACCAGTACAACTAAGTGCTTTGAATCATTACCTTCCTTTAATTTTTTTCCTCCAACAGCCATCCAAAAATAGAATTTGTGACTTAGAGATGTTTGTTTATGCATTTTCGACTTGTCACCACTGCATCTCAGAATCAGTGGCAATTAATATTCCCACATATTGTAATTCGTCATTGTTGTTTACAATTAGATCCGCTGAATGTAAACCTAAGGGCTTTATTTTTTTGAGCATGTTATGTCTAGAACTCTCTACGGGACAAGCTGATATTGTGTTAAGTCACTAGGTATTCGAATTTTATTTTATTCTTTTGATTCCTATATATTAATTCAATTACGACCACAGGATAATTCTCAATTATTGGTATCTTAGTTCCAAATGGAAAAACCGACACATTTTCATTTCAGATAGGCTCTAATTTTAAAAATCTTTTTAAATGCTGTAAAGGGGGTAACTGAGAAAATCAATATTCTCAAACCATATAATCAATGTTTTAAATGTTTAATGAAACTTCATTTTAATCGTTTGCAGAGATAAAAATGTATTTAGTAAATGTAAATGCAAAAATCATCATGAATCCACTATCTGTTTGAAAAATAATGATCAAATTCATGTAATATATCAGAAAATGAATCAACTGCCACCAGTTTGAAAAAGGAATCATTAGTTTCAAATTTTCATACAAACACTTTGGTTTCTCAGTGTAATACTTCTGTTTCGAAAAATACTTTATTACAAACATATACTGTTTTGGCTTGCAATGAAAATGAAACTAAAGTTGTTCGTATTCTTCTTGATCAAGGTAGCGAAAAATCGCTTACTAAAGATACCTTAGAAAGATTTTTAAAATTAGAGCCTATCTGAAATGAAAATGTGTTGGTTTTTCCATTTGGAACTAAGATACCAATAATTGAGAATTATCCTGTGGTCGTAATTGAATTAATATATAGGAATCAAAAGAATAAAATAAAATTCGAATGCCTAGTGACTAACACGATATCAGCTTGTCCCGTAGAGAGTTCTAGACATAACATGCTCAAAAAAATAAAGCCCTTAGGTTTACATTCAGCGGTTCTAATTGTAAACAACAATGAAGAATTACAATATGTGGGAATATTAATTGCCACTGATTCTGAGATGCAGTGGTGACAAGTCGAAAATGCATAAACAAACATCTCAAGTCAAAAATTCTATTTTTGGATGGCTGTTGGAGGAAAAAAATTAAAGGAAGGTAATGATTCAAAGCACTTAGTTGTACTGGTTTGGTCAGTACGTCGGTGTCAGATAATTTAAGCATGTTTTGGCAGCTTGATTCTGTGGGAATTATAAATGAAGTCCAAAATGAATTTAATCAAACTGATAATGACCTAATTTGCCATTTTGAAAGAGATATACGGTTTAAAAATGGAGGGTACTAATGTAAATTATTGCGGAAATCTACTAAGAATTAGGAAATAATTTTTATACCACAAAAAGGCGGTTGGAATTTTTAAAACAAAAATTACAGAAAAACTCTAGAAATATTGCAAAAATATAAAGAAATTATTGAAGAGCAGTTAAAGAGAAAAATAGTCAAAGAATGCCCTAATGAAATCAAACTTACACAGTATTATATGCCGCACCGTGCTGTAATAGGTCATTCCGAGACTACTAGTATCCGTGTAGTTTTTTATGCTTCTCCGAAGACTGAAAAATTCAAATTCTTAAATGAATGTCTAGAAATCTGCCCAAATCTGAATCCGAAAGTTCATGACATGATCCTGAGGTTTCAAGAACTTGAAATAGCATTTTGTGGGGACATAAAAAAGGGCATTTTTAATGATTGGCATTGCAGAAGAAGATGGAGATTACTTAAGATTTCTTTGGTTTGGGCATGATGACCAATCACGTAATATTATGTGCATGTGCTCGATCTCATTCGCGGCAGTGGTTAGTCCTTTTCTGTTGGCTGCTACAATAAAATATCACATTAAAGGGTATAAAGGGGACCACCCCGAGTTTTAAAATGCTTAAATATTCTACTTACATTAGTGACTTATTTTATGGAGGTAAAACTGTAAAGATGCATACCGATTGTCTGTAGATGCTGTAAATATTTTTGCAGATGCAGGTAGGAATTCGAGAAAACTAAAAGTGAATTCAGATGAATTAGATGCCTTATGGATGAGGTCAAATACTAAAGGGGAAGATAATATCAATAAAGAAACAAAATTTTGAAACTGGTGAAGGCAACACAAAAAGACTGATGTTGAAAACTGTCACCAAAGTATTAGACCCTATTGGGTATTTGCAACAATTTATAGTGCAGGTTAAAATAATGTTACAAGACATTTGTCTGCTGGGTTTGCAGTGGGATGCTGCACTTCCTACTGATATTAATAAAAGGTGGATAAACTGGTGCGCAAAAATGAAATACTTAAAAACCCCCTGATTTTCCTAGAAAATTCTTTCACAACATTAATTACACACAGCTGAGCATTTATATTTTTTGTGATGCCACACCCAGAGCTTTTGGAGCAGTGGCATATTTTAAATACACTGATAAAAATAAGGAAATTAAAACCAGTTTCATAATGGCAAAAAGTAGAATAGCTCCCTTCAAATCTTTAACCCTCCCTAGATGCGAGCTAATGGGAGCTGTTGTAGTTGCTTAGAAGCACATCTTGCCTATGTTGAGCAACAATATTATACTTTGGAGTGACTCTCAAATAATGCTGCATTTAGTAAAGAAATCCCCCAATGTCTGGAAGCCATTCGTTGGAATTTGTCTAGAAGATATTTAAACCAGACAGACAGAAAAATTTAAAAAGGATCGATTACAAACCTTTCCGAACTTTTTTCTGCAGACGTAATGTGTCAGATGACTTTTTCTTTATATCTTGTCTTACACGCTTGTATTCTAAAAACAATACTTGTATTAACAAAATAAATTTTAGAAAAAAATTAAACAGAAATTTAATTTTTATAAACTAGATTAATAATAGCATTCATAATAGAAATTTCTTAATTTGTATCTTAGCTCATATTTTTGAAATATATAGCAAAATTCAATTAGCACTGATTTCAACTAAAAAGGCTAAGTCAGTATAATGAGCAAATGTTTATACAGGGCACAGCAGGGAAACTTCCTTATTTGAAACACGCGACATCTAGCGACATTTATTCTGAGAAGGGTGCGGTGGCGCTAATTGAAAAGAGCGGTATCTAATTTTTATGTTATGTATGTTTAGTACCGATCATGCAGTGGCTGAGAGAGGAGCACGCATTCGCTGTGGAGTCGTACTTTTAAATGTATTACATTTTCATCCACATAAACTGGCAGTGGTGCAAAAACTTAATCCACACGATTTTCTTTCACAAAAAAATGCATGCATAGCCGTTCTTGAAAATATGCCTCATGATGCCTTTGTGTTCTTTAGCAATGAAGCTCATTTTCATCTTTCCGGTTGCAGCATGCATTAAGCAAAACATGCAATAATGGAGTGGCACGAATCCCCGAGAATTTCATGAGCAGCCCCTCCATACAGAATGAGTGACTGTTTAGCACGCATTGTCCAGAATAGGTATGATTGGACCATGGTTATCTGAAATCTCTAACGTCCAAAGACCCTGGCTCAACTGAAGAACAATATTCAAGCTGCTATCGACAACATACTCGTTGATATGCTGCACCTTAATGATGTTATTTTTAAACCATAACAAAAAAAACTTTAAGTGTCTCCCTATAACTTGGAAAAAAATTAAACTGATATCGCTTATACTATTTGTGTTATTCATTTTAAAAATAAGGTAGTTTCCCTACCCCATCCTGTATTTAAAAGAGGCTATTTACTCAGGAATCGCAACAAAATAAAATATTTTTCTCATTTTCGAAAGCTTCTATTTATTTTTAATTGTCTACTTCAAATATGTTAGCAGAAATAATCGGTAAAACATATGTCATTTAAAATATTACAATTAAAAACCAAAATCACACAAGAAAAAGATGTGTTTATTACTCTAATAATTATGACTAAAAATAATTCATTTTAATAATAAATTGATAAAAGGGCTGGATTTGAATATTAAGTTTCAAAGTAGTTAACACATAGATTTATAGTACATTGAACTATAAAATTGCACTAATCATCTGGCAAGCAATAACCATGTAAAGATTTATTTAATTTTATTAGAAGTAAAACACATTCCTTTTTTCAGTTTTAATTCTTCGCTGTAATCAATTCAAGAAGAAATGAAAATTTAGGTCCTTCATTTGAAATATTAAAAGGGATTACAGTGCACTGCTGCCCGTGTTTTTCGCACATTGCCCTAAAATTTGGAAACTGACATAAATTTTATTTTACAGATGAAACTTGACCAGCAATGATTTTAATCGAAATGCCAATACATTACACATCACAGCAGATTTAATTTGTTTCATCCCTCCATTTTAAATTCAGTGCCTTCAGATGAATTGCCAAATCACATATTCATTTTAGATCTTTAAAACGATTTACAGTTTGACATTTTCCCATTAAATTACTTTTAAAATCTTTTAACATAAAAAACGAAAATGCTGCAAAAATTTGCCTCAGCTATCAAAATTCAAAAAAGTGCACAATGTCATTTTATTTTGTATTAATTTCATCCAGAAACGTCGTGAACGGGCAACAGTTAAATGCACATAACTGCCCAAAATTTACTGTAATTACAATGTCTTTAAGATATTATTACAAAATTCTATTTTTCTTGCTGAGATTGTGGTAATGTGTGAAGTTATGATTCTTTAATTCCTAATTTTACTGTTTGAAAGAAGCAGTACTATTTAATTTTCTTAAAAAAGGTGTTACCATCAGTCAATGTACTCATTTTATGTATTCTAATCAAAGTCTGCAAATAATTTCATCATAGTAAATTTGAGCTTTTTTCCATAGTTTTACAATGAACACTATTCTATTAAATTATCTGAATTTGGCAAAGCTACAAGGGCTGTTTGCCTATGATGAGAGATACCTCCATGGAGGACTTTTTAAAGAAAACTAGCTCATATTCACATTACACATGTGTAAAACAGAAAACAAAAACAAAAAACCATGAAGGCCATCCATTTGCCTGGGAATGAACTCAAGTCAGGTTGAACTACCAGTATTCAACAGACTTAACCACTCGGCCAGTAGTGAGGCCACTATCCTAAGAATTCCTCTTAAATTTCAAAATCTGATGTAACATCATTAACAGATACAGTCACTTTGCCATTTTTGTCATATCTGTGGATTAATCTATATCAAGAGATTGATTGATACACAGATTGATTGGAAATTTATATTATTTTTATCTTCATGTAATTTGAAATACCAACAATTCACTTTTTCATTGCCATACATTTCAGAGTTAATGGCCTCAAGTCTTGTTACATATATTTCCACAGTTAATTTTTTAAGATGCATTCATTAAATACCCTTTCTTTCACAAAATCACTATCCATAAAATGCCTTGATGATGACACACTAAATTGTGACATAACAAAACTCACTCCAAGTCCACTTTTTAACACTTCAGAAAATGATTTAATTTATATTTTGCCAAGTTTGTAATTGAAGCAGAAAAGCAATATTTTCTCTTCTTAATTTGCTACAGTATTCTTTTCTTAAAAATGGAATATTTGCTTTTGAAACAGCACTATTTCAACTATTCAATTATTCTTTTGGCAATCTGAAATAACATTTCTCCCTACATATTGGTTACAAATAATAAACAAAATTTACCATAACTTTGAATAAAGCAGTACCTTTCTTTGAACTATTTGAAAAACTCTTACTTCTTTGATAGGTAATTTTTTAGATATGGCCTAGTAAATTATTTTTGTTTTCTCTTAAAACATATACAGACAGTGCGACACCAAAATAGGGGCGGGGGATATTCTGTATAATACATTAATACAATATTATTTGCCTTTAGCCATACAAATTGCTACTGCATACAATGAACCATACAATATGCTAAAATGCTACGTAACAGGTAGACAGGTGTTGAATTTATTCTCCTAATTATGTGAATAATATAATGGAAACAATACCTAATTAAGTCTTATAAATATATTTAAACAAGTCACATGATGACTACAAACTGCAGATTATGCATCAGTTCTAAATGCATGTTGATAAACTCTATGAGCTGATCTGTGCTTTTTTAAGCTAGCAAAATAATCTACTCCTAAAGAGTATGCCTTACAAAACGCATTCAGCCATTCCAGTCAAGATTGAAGAAAAATGTTGATTAATTTATGCTAGTTATTAACATTCAAACTGGTGTGAGACTATTGCATCCATCACTTATACTTGATCATACTATACACTTTTATTTACTATAAATTAAAGTACTTTAGTACACTCATTTAGTCACATATTAATATATCAATATTTTTTAAAGAAATTTTTTTTTCTGTATTATCTATTAAACCAGGAGCTCAACAAGCATTCAAAATGAAAAGCACTAAAAGGTTAAAGAACTTTATTGCTGAAAACATGTACTTGATATTTGCAAATGAGTTACTCATTAAGCATAAAATCATTTTCTTTTAAACATAAGTCATGTTAAATACAATACTGTTCTCAATATATTTATTATTTAATACCAGATTATGATTAATGCATTTATTATTTACCACATGAGATTAGATTTTAAATAATTAAAAGGAATACAGTGGGAATGATTAATGCGTTTCAGTATCCTTGGTTGACAGTGTATTATAATTTTTCAAAATTTTGTAGTTCCTGTGTTAATATTTTTAATATCTCATACAGAATATAATTTAAATTTAAACAAAAGAAATGAAATAGTATAAACTTCAACAATCACTACCTCCAGATATTTTTCCACAACTGAATGGGCTTCATGAATAAGAATCAAATTTCACAATGCTAAGTATTTTTAAAACAATCTGTTAATATATATAGGTACTTAACTCGATTGATTTTATCATTTTGCAATATATTCTCGTAAAATTATTAGTATTATGCTTTAATGTTATCAATTTAGGCATAGTCTTTGTATGAAATTTATGTTCCTTATTTTGTTATTCGATATATAACTTAATTTTAGAAAGGCTCTATGCTTTTAACCATCCTGTCTCTTAAATTATGCTTATATCATATGAAACAGTTATACTGGTTGAAGGCATTTTGTTTCAATACAGTATGACTGAAAATTCTTAGTAAGTTAATAATGAATATGTTGAATGAGTTCTTCCTCTCTCTAGATGACTACCAACAAAATTCTAAATTGTTTCTTTACTGAATCATTTTTTCTCATGCATGATAATATGGGACATTTCATTTCATTTTTTTAAGATATCAATTTAAAAGTACAATTCTTCCCCTCCAAATATCATAATACATCTGCAACGTTGAATATCAACCTCAGTTTTTTATATAAATAACAAAAAACAGTAGTATATCTTTTAATTTTATAGCCTTTTGTATTTCAAAATTAACACCTAAAACAGATTCAGAATGATGAAATATTAGTCAGCAAGATTTATTTTATCAAATATTACTCAATAAGAAAGCTTTACCTAATGAAGGTTAAACTTTCTCAACAATTCTAAAAGCAGGTCATGCTGTTTTATCAATATTATTTTAAAGTGTTTTTACTTTCCCTTTTTCTAATATATTTCTATCTGCTGAAGATTTTTTAAAACTATTTTTGCTTTTCCTAAATAAAAAAAATATAAAACTTTCTAAACTGATTCAAGTTATGCTAATGTTTCCCGAAATTACCAGTTTTCATTTTATAATCCAGATTTATTAAGATTTAGAAATTGTAAATTTTATATTCAATTTTCTATACATTTCAGACAAAAAATAATATTTTCAAGATAAAAGAATTTAATGTACAATCATTTAAATGAACACTGTTACAAATTAAAAACTTCCACAAAGCATTAAAAATATATGTTACAAATTCTAAATAGCAAAAAGCAGTACTTTCTAATTATCTACACATATCGATGCAAAAAGAAATACTAATCAGAAAAATGACCAATGAATTTCCAAAGGGCAAATCCATGCATGCTACATTTATACCTAGATTGCCACATAAATATGTTTTTGCTGACATTATGAGTCAAAACAATTTCATGGCCTTTCAGTTTAAGATGCAGATAATTAGAAAGTACCTAAAAAAACACTATAACTCAAAATAAAAAAAAAAAAAAAAAAAAAAAAAAGAGCAGATGTAGATCAATAAATATCAGAATTAAATAGATTTTTAAATTAATGAATAAACATTTAAAATCTTTTTTTTTTTTTTTTTTTTTTTTCCCAAATTTACATGCAATACTTTTTACCAAACACAAAAAGAGCAACTAAAAAAATTGAAAATGAATTAATGTAAAGTATATTTAAATACTGCTAGATGTAACAGCACAATCATATCAAATCAAATCATGCCACTATACTTAGTATGAAAATGGTAAATAAAACAAATGAAAAGAAATGTGCATTCTAATTCATGCACAAATACTCAGAGCAGAAGCATCAACATACTACACAGCACTAATGCTAAAACTGATATCTAACATTGAGTGGTAACATCAGAAAACCTTTGGCATGATCTTTGTCCATTTGACAGGCAATTTTTTTCCAATCTTCCAATTTTTCTTGCATTGGAATCACTAAGTGGTCCACCAGAGCACTAAAATATAACGAATATCTGTTACATACATAACTCAAGAGTTTCATTGTGCCAGAAGAATTTCGCAAAGCTCAATTCTAACAGCCCTTAGCTGTGATGCATATTCAGTTTTCTTTTGTATGCTAACTCATCAAACAAGAAATCGGCAAAAACAAAAACAAACCAAAATATTATACAAATATTTACAGCAAATTTAATATTACTGATTCCTAGTACTACAATTTAGGACTCAAGTTTTATAAATTACAAATTTGAAATTATAAGTGAAATAATTATAAAGATTATACAAAACCAACAGGAAAATAGATTATAAAGCTAGTTGTCTAAATCTGCGTTCAAATTTATTTACATGTCTGAACAGACTTGTAGAAATCACAATAGCTGCTCATTAGGGTAAACCAACAATGATATCTCTTTTCCTTTTTTTGATAAAAATATATCAGTAGAATGAAGTTTGAGACACTTTATTGAGTTTGATACTTACATATTATCCCATTAAATCTGAAACTGTCACCAAGGAGTGCCATTTGGTGCCAGTTATGGATAAGCATGATGTTAACCCTTAGCGCTTCGTTGGCTCCGCTACAGAGCTGTCCGTCATTTATTCCGTAACTCCATAGGCTCTGCTGCGGAGCCATCCGTCATTTGTTTCGTAACTCCGTAGGCTCCGCTGCGGAGCCGTCCATCATTTCTTCCGTAACTCCATAGGCTCCGCTGCAGAGCAGAATGTTTTTAGCATGATTAGGCTTATCGTCACCGTTGGCAATTGTTATCTGTAGTTAAAACGTGCTCAGTCTCGCTACTGTTACAATTGAAACATTATCTGACCCATTTTATGGTTAGCAACATAGAGAAAAATAATTATTGTGATGAGAATATAAAGTTGAATGATAGTGAAAAGGTGTGTTTGATTTTTCATTGTTAGAAGATATTGTGGAAGAAAATGTTGGTTATAATTCTGACACTTCAAGTAGTGGTTCCGAAATTATACTACCAAAAAGACGATGAATGGTAGTTATTGAAAGAGAAAGCAAAGAGTCGCCGGAAGACTTAGATGAATGGCACGATGTCTCAGAAGAATTAGATATTTCGAATAGAATACATTTTAGTGTATCACCAAAGGTGAATTACAAAATTTAAAATTTATTTTTCATTTACAAGAAGAAGGTGCATATGTATAAAATAAATAAAATCCAAAACATTCACAAGCACGTGTATTTCTTCTCACTTAAATTAAGACTCCTTCTTCACACTCGTTCAGCTGTAAAAACGTACCGGAGTTGCTGCTAGGCAGTGGTACAAAAACGTGCGGAGCGCTAAGGGTTAAAACACACTCATAACCATCCGCACCTTCATTTCATGTAACCAGATTGATTTCCAGTAAGCAACCTTTTATTTTTATGAACAAGAATATAAATTAACTGTTGTTGTTGCATTTCTTTTCTCTTACATTTTGGGAGGAAAAAAGAATTTGAGGGCTGTAGAATCACATTTGTGACCAAACTCTGGTTCATTTATAGCTGGTTAAAAGAATAAGCATCTGCTGAATGTATGAAAATCAGCTGGATATGGCTGACAATATATTATAGTAATAGATTGTAACAATCACCTTTGAGAAGTTTGTGCACATACTGTTCTAAACAGAGCTTTCAGTTAAATTGGAGGGCTTAAAAAAATAACAGAAATCCATGAAAGCCTTTTTACAAAGTGCCTCAAATACTACTGCAACAGTAACTACAGTCAAAAGTCGTTAATTCGGACACCCATAATCCGGAATGATCTATAATCCGGACCTCAAAGCTACAAACTTTCTGCGCATGCGTCGCGTTGACGCATGCGCGTAAGACCTTTACCTCTGCTCATTTGCGTGTGCGCGTGCGCAAAATACGTTTACGAATGCGCGTTTAATGTACACGGACGGGATAAGCTAAGCTAAAATTATCTAATTATCTATTTCAGTTAATGTTGCAGATTGCGTTGTTCCTTAATCTTCGAATTGGATCCGGATTATTATTTTTTGCAGACTGTTAGAGCAATTTTATAAAAGTAAGCTTGAACTTTCGATTATGTCAAATAGAATTTCCGATATATATTTACTAATATGTAAAGGATATACAAAGCGAAAGTATGTTTCGGAGTCCATTAAACAAAAAGTGGAATTGCTGCAAAAAAAAATGGATAAAGTTTATCTAAACTTTAACGTTTGTTTATCTAAACTTTGTTTATCTTTAACGCTAACGCTGCGGCGGCGTGCATGAATTGGAAGTTGATCTGTCAACACTATCCTTATCTTAAGGCAGATTTTTTTATTTTATTTGGCTTATAATTGCTTACTCAATGTAGTATTTCATCTCGTCTTTGATATGATTTAAATCAAATGCCTCGTCATTATAATTTGCTTCCGATAGCGAAGAAAGTGACAGAGGTTATTAAAAACGAAAAAATTTCGATTGACAAATTAGTCGGTATTCTCGACACAGCAATTATATCACTTGAACAGCGGAACTTTGTAACTGAACAAGAAATTATGTCTGTTTATAGAATTAAAGAGAATGTATTATAACATAAAAAACGAAGCAACTTAAACAACTTACATTGAAAGAAATGTTTAATAAAGTAAACAAATAAATATTAAGCTTTTTTTTTTTTTTGTAAATTTTGATACCCTTTAAATCATAATTGTTCTTTATTTCGTAAATTACGGTTTCATATTTTTAATTTTATAATTTCTGCATGCCATTTTACCAGATTTAAACTGATGATCTATAATCCGGAAAAATCGATAATCCGGAATCGCCGAAGTCCCGACGAGTCCGGATTAACGACTTTTGACTGTATTAGGTGTATTGCTCAGAGAGACTGAAAATGTTTTATTGTATGAGTTGCAAGTGTGGTTCAGAATTCTGCAAACATGAGTGGTGCAACTTTCGTGGAATCTTCACTAATTTTCATAGTTCAATGGTAGCCATCTTTTCACAACTGATGGGATAATATGTACAAATCAAAAGTTTTTCAGTGTTTTATTTCAGCTTTCTACTGTTCTAATGCTGAAGAGTATACTTAACAACAACGTTATATCAAAACTGAAAAGAGAATGGAATTAAAATACTTCTATATCTATCATCTTCTCTCAACAAAAATTTAATTTATTGAAACAATAAATATTGCTATAATTATGAAATCCATGTGAAAAATTTACAAGAAGTAGCACAGTGTCCAAAACAGTAAAATAACTGAAATGGATGCTTGTAAGTAGATTTTTCTATCATTAATTTTTATTTTTTCATAAACTTGTTTCACAATCAATGATTTATGATCATTGATTTAATTTATGATCATTGATCATAAACTTGTTTCACAATCAATGATTGTTTCACAAGTTTTGCAATCCTCTGAACTTAAATATGATAATGTCATAAAGTTATTACGAACATTCAGAACAGTATTATTCCTATACATTGTTATGAATTTTGCCGATAGATAATTTTAGTGCAATTATATGTGAAATTGCTGTATTTTTCTGTCTAACATAACATGAAAAATCTAGAGAGACAAGCTATGCCAGAAAAGTAAGAACACAGAGCCAAGTCCATTTAACATTTAGTAATTGGGTATCTCGGTAACTTGGTGAGAAATCGCCAAGCTGGCAACAGCTTTGGTAACTTATCGCAAAAAGTCCAACATTTTGGTCTAGCCCTTATATCACTGTAATAGGTATTGTAATTCAACAAATGTAATTGAGCACTATATTATTAACTGTAACCATAATTCTAACCTCATATTGCCATCTGTAATTTCAAAAAGGAGAAAGTAGAAATATCTTAGAGGCCGGGTGAAAACAATATAAGGCTAGAGACAGGATCTATTTTTAGTTGTTGTTGTTAACTCAGCGCAAGTTCTGAGTACTATCTCCTGTTTAGCTTTACTCTTTAGCTGTGCTTTGCATTGTGAACATTCTTAGTAGTTTGAAGTGTCACAACTAATTCTAATCTATGATACTGTGAAGATTTTTATAAGTATTTCTGTGAAAAGTTCTAATAGGATTGTACTGCACAGATGGGATTGTACTGCCCAGATGTGCAGTCCTTGGGAGGGGACACTGTTATGAATTCTATACGTAGATACATGATTTTAGTGAAATCATGTGTGAAATTGTTGTATTTTTCTGTGTAACATAATATGAAAAATCTAGAGCATACTTGCCAACCTATGACACTCAAAAATCGGGAGATTTTTTTAAGAAATCTGGAGATTTTTCACAATGTTAAAAAGACTTTTTAAATGATAAAAATATAGTTTTAATAATGAATTAACTTTAAATAGTCACTAAGTCTTAAATGCAAGCAACACAAAAATACCTTAGACATAAAAAACATTTTTATTACTTGCATTGTAAAAAAAAAAAAAAAAAAAAAAAAAAAAAAAAAAAAGACACTTTAATCAGTTTTCGTACAAATATTAGGAACAGTGGCAGATTTTGCTTTCGTTAAGAAAGAAACATCATAATTTTGTTCATAGCAATTACCACGTAGGCCTGCTTTCACTAATAAAAGTTTTTCTAATGCGTCATCACTAATATTTGATCTAAATTTAGTCCTCATTTTCGAAACAACACTGAAAATCCTCTCACACTCCGCATTACTATGGGGAACTGTCAAGATGGCCAACATAATTCTAGACAGTTCACTATATTTTTAAATTCCATCAGCACCTTTCAATTTTCCAATTAAACTCCACTGGGTGTCAATCCTAGCTGATTTTATAACTTCATCCAAGTTTTCTAATTGTAAACTGCAAAATTGCGACTGCAGTATATCAGTAGCAACATCAATATCATCTTTCATGACTAAATGAAGTAACACAGGAAATCTGTTCAAAAAGTACCTTATATCAGAAAAAGATGCATTTGCTAGAGCAGAAACATCACAAACTTTAGCATGCAAAATCACTTCATCGTTGACTGGAAATTTATGTAGTATGTAATCACGTACTCGACAGAA